TCATTACAGAGATTTGCCCAGAGATTTAATGCCCAGAGATTTAAAACAATGTCTCAGATAAGGCAGCCTAGGCGAGGCAGATACCCAGCTCCAGGGCTGCTGAGAAAGCGATGGGAAGGGTCTGCCCAGCCTGAAACAAAAGACGAGTCCCAGAGAAAGGGCAGGACAAGGTGGATCCAGGAGGTTGTCCCAGCCAAAAGCAGCCTGCTGGAGAAAGACAAAGATTATCTGGAAGCTGTACTCACAGAGGCAGGGAAACTAATGGGCAAATATGTGAGGCTGCTTCTCCTTACACAACAATGTAGTCACGCAAATTTATCCGAGCTATGTGCAGAGGGGTTAACCTGAGGAACAGAAATAGGCGCGTGCACATCTGCTACTTTCAAACAACTTATCCAGCTGCTATGTAACATTTTGTTTCAGAAAGCTGCGCTAGTAGTCACCGTAATCCATTTCCGTCACATCGCTCCTGAAGAGTCCAGCGGTTGTCAGATGCACTGACCTGCTTAGGAGCGGAGCCTGGGAGCAGTTATCCCTGGATGGTCTCTGCAAGAGGGGTAACGTTGCAGAATTGCACCCCAGGAGGAGCAAAAGCCCGTTCAGCCATGAAGATGGTATAAAGGAAGATCCAGAAGCAGCAGCGGACAGGCATCTCTCATGAAACCAGAACCCAGAAGCCTGTGAGTCTTCACGCCTTCCTGAAGCAGCAGCATTGAGGCACTCCATTGTTTTCTATCTGCCCTTCCCCAGGATTTTTCCCTTGCATGCCAAGCTCCCAGGTTGTGCAAGCAGCTTCATTAATTCACATCAAAAGCATGTTTTCCCAATAGATGTGTCAATTCCCTGCAGTGCTAAACCTTCACGAGTACCAGGATCATCAAAATTCATAACGATCAAAATGACTGGTTTCGCTGGATGATCTCTGCAGCTCAGCGAGGCAGGCTTTGAACACTTGGCAAGGCTCAGCCCCTCCCAGATATCAGATACGCATCGTGTGTCTGCAGGACAGCCTGGATGCCTAGGCCTCCTCATCAGCGAGGTACCACATCATAATCAAGTGAACGTTTCCGGCTTATTTTTAATAGTTAAACATTTGTAATTCCTCTTTCTATGGACTGTGATTCGTGATGCAAAGAAAACAGTCTACAGATGACATAGGCAAGTTATAGCTGAGAAACATTTCTCTTTAGACAAAGGCATAAATGCAGAAATGACGGTGCTGGGAATCACCACACAGAGCCTATTAGTGCTTGTGAGAGCTTGGCCCAGGTATCGTCGACAAGTAACCACACTTACTTATTTGTAAAGACTCTACAAACCAATAGCAGCTGTTTCCAAAATAACGAGGATACCAATTTCCTTCCTTGGCCCTGTCCTTCCCACATCCCAGCCACAAGCAGCCTGTGCTTGCAAAGGGAATGGGAGCCTGCCAGTCAGAAAGTCACAAAAAGGAAGCCTGTTGCTGGAATCTGTTGCAAGAATGCCTTTAGGGATTTTCCCCCCCCTTTTTTTCTTTTCAGCCAAGGGACTTCTTGTTCCATTTGCCCCAACCCACCTCCAGCTCTGCTCCCGGCCTGCCTGGAGCCACCAGCTCAGCCACTCCTGCCCGCAATGCCAGGCCACAAGCACGTTGGCCGCTCAGCTCACAGCTCACTCTGCCCCTGCCCGACAGGGAGGAAGGTCACTGCTGCCTCCAACACACAGATTGCAAACCCCCAGTCCCTCTTGAATGCTGCCAGCTACCAAGCTGATCAGGGCAGGAGGGATGCTACTGGATGGGTTGTGCAGCTACACCTGCTCCTTTCTTTCCATCTTCCTCCTCTTTTTCACCTTCTCCCCTGGCTCTGGCGCAGGCAGCAGCTCCTCTCTGCCAGCAAGGTATATCACAGCACCGGCCTGTGGGAGCAGAGGGAACTACAGCAACAAGTCACACAAAGCCGACATAAAACATCAACCCGGGAACTTCCTTGCACTGACTTGTCCTTTGCACACACACAGAAATAGCTGGCTGTTAAGTCTTCATTTGTGCGTGTGTGGGAGTGTACAAGAAGAGCGATGAGACAGAAAGCCTGGCCATGGCTCTTCCTCTATAACTTAATTTGTCCAACCAGGGAAAAACAGTCATACTAAAGCATAAGCAAATATATTAAAAAGTGAGACCAGGGCAGCAAATGGTCTGTTACATTTGCTCAGCTAGGCAGAAACAAAAGCCAGGCTTGGACTATTTGCTATACACAGCAAATTAGTGTTCAGCTACTCTTTTTTTGGGAGGCTGAAGGGGAAAGGTTTTCCTCCACGCTTCAACTTGTTAAAGTATTGCCAACTCTGCAGAAATAATTTACTCCTGATGGACACAGTACTGCTGGTTAGACCCATGAGTTTAACAACCTGCCAGACACAGAGGGTAAAGCCCTGAATAAATCACAACAAATGAAAATACTGTTAGCAGTTTCATAATTTAATGAAAAAGTACTTGTAAAAAGGGGACATCTGAAAAAGACCGAGTCCATCTTGGAAAATTGAATATATATATATTTATATATATAAAACAAAATGCAAAAAAACACAAAAAAAATTTGACAAATAAGGTTAAGAGGTAATACTTCAAACAGTTAGCCACCGAACACACAATAAAAACTAGCAAATGCACTTTGGGGACAATACTTGAGAACTACATAACCAAGGGCTCCTTCATATATCTATTAAAATCATGTAAAAATTAGCAAAACCATTGCCCAGACTGGAAACAACTGAATTAATAACCCCAGAAGAGCAGAAACGCTGAGTTTTGCTGAAGCACCATTTTCCCTCCCTTCTGTCATAGGCTTCCGGCCACGAAATAACATGAACGCTTTGCTGACCTCCCAGATAAGTGTTCCCAATACAAGCTTCATAAAATTTCATGACCAGCAAGAGAGGATTACTAATAAATATCGAAGGAGAACTAAGAGAATCAGAACTGGAATACAAATGAAGAGACATTTGTTTACTTCTTCTGAATGACCCATGGCTTAGAACACAAAGCATTTCCCATTAAAATAAAATATGTGGAAACCTAAAACGCTATTGCATATTTACACCAAAAGAAATAATTCTGAAGATACAGCTCTAGAAAGATCAATTACACAAATATACATAAAATCAAGAAGTGAAAAAAAAAAAATTAAGATGCATGAAGCAAACAGAGCAGAATTGCCAAGTATACTTTTTTTTTATTTCACTACTGAAAAGTACTCCAGCCCCTGATGTGCTAGTCCTATTGCAACAAGGGAGATTTCAAAGTTTAAAATAAATCTAAAAATGTTGCTGCCATTTCCCAAGCTAAAAGCAATAAATTAAGATTACAAAGAAAAACAGGTGGTTGTTTGGATTCTGCATAGTCATCTTCACTTTTTGGGGAACACCTTTTGTTTCTAGACAAACTGAACCCTCAAAAGAAAGGAGCTGTATCAGGTGCCCTATACAACCAAGAGCGCATTTCAGCCAGCGATGTGGGGACAGAGGATGTTGCGTATTTGTGAAATGTACAGCATTTCAGAGAAAAACAGTGCAGTCAACTTTGTCGATCAACACAACACCATCTGGAAAACAAGAAGTTTGTTTGCATTCAAACAAAAATCCCCTGTCATTGAAACCAACAGACAAGGATTCCCCTTCTTTTTTGCTTCCTCAATACTGGCTGAAATCTAATCACTACTTAACAGCTGCTAATTTTAACGGACATACAGAAAAGTTTTAGTTTGGGAAACAGCAACTGGTCCAGAGGTTGAAAAGGAGCTTAATAAAATAACAGATTTTGAGCAATTTAAAAAAAAAAAAAAACCCAAAAACATACTCCGAATAATGACTGGCTAAAATTTTACAGACCTAGATGCCAGACGTAAGGTTCCTTCACCCATATTCAGGCAACTAGGGCTGAAAATTTGTGCCTGCATTAAAAGTTCAGACAAAATGATTTATAATTCAGCTTATTTTAAAAATACCAGGTACAAACACCTCTGGACATGAAATCTCAGTTTCAAGAGGAACCTGGCATCACTGGTGATTGCCTAAATTTAAGTGTCAAATAGCATTTTTCTTTGAAGTAGTACATCTACTTTTGTAAACACTATCCACAAAATTAGCCATCTGTACTTGTTAGCTGGGTAAAATATTTACAAGTGCATCCCACAACAAGCAACTATGTACAGAGATTAAAAAAACTGAAGTACTAGAAGTTATATATTTACAAAATAAGCAAATTATTGTGAAGAGAAACATAACCTTCAGCAAGAGCAGGGAACGGGGGCACGTCTAGAGGTCAGCGAGTTTGGCAGCGCCAGCGACGCCTGCTTCCACCCTCTGCAAGGAGCCTGCAAACGCCACTGTGGTTCAAAGCCTCCTGCAGAAGAGGATCGTCACTTAGTAGTCACTTTGGGCCTGATCCAGCAGAGCACACCGGGCATGCACTCAAGAGATCCGAGCACAAATGTTCCTGGGGGAAACCAGCAGGACTTTTCACATGCTTAACTCCCTAACAAATTCGCAAGTGCGTTGCTGGATCAAAGCCATACTGCAGGTGCTCTAATAATGCAGTGTCAGTGTCTCCGTTTGCAGTCTCTTGCACCACGTTAGAGCAATGCAAGGACTTTTTTAATACCTGACCACCATCACAAGATTGACGTAACATGAGCACATTGCCTGGCACATAAGCTGGCAAGGGGGAAGCCGTTTCCTGAATTTACACAAAGATTAACCACTTCGTGCTCTCCCAGATGTCACCCTCTAAAAGACATCGATTTCCACATGACTTTGCAATAACTCAGTTGACCTTGCGAAGACTGCAAGCCAATTCACAGTTGAACAGAACTACTCTGATTTCTCTCCCCTCCCCCCATCCCCTACTGCAACTCTTCCTAAGGTAGGTCATGGGCTATTTTTCTGCAACCTTTTGACGCTGAGCTTTGCACTGGGTACACTGGAATACATAAAGGCTGAGTTACCCCGTAGGGGGCTTCTAATCACCTTTGTACCGAACTGTGAGAAACCATATTCTTTTTGTTTCTATTGTGACAATCTCTTCCAAAGTCCTTACTTGGGCTTTCTCTCTCTGAGCTACTTCGTCTTAACCTGACTTGCTCTTTGTTTTCATCACTTTCTGCTTCAGAGTCACTCAGCTCTAAGTCAGGACAGTACCCGTCGTTGTCTTGGTACGGAGCACCTTCAAGTGTCTGCTTGCTCCACAAGCGATCTTTTGTTGCAAGTCTTCTTGTTGGCTTTTCACAACACCGGAGATCTTCTGTTGTCCTCACGAGACTGTTGGTAGCCTCTTTAAAGGACCGGCTAAAATGTTCTATGGTGGATTTTCTGAAACCGCTCTGGCTGGCCAAGTGAGCCGTGAGCACGGACTCTTGGTCGTAGGGCGTCTGGCTGGAGCTGTCTCTCTGGCTCACGTCTCCAGCCCTGCCCATCAGACCGTTGGACTTGGCCGCCAGCCTCGAGTTCTCCTGCTGCACCCGCCCATTCCCAATGGAAGACTGTCCGTGCAAAGCAGCCTGGAGCGCTAAGGGCTTCCCGGACGGCTGGCCCCGGTGAAACTCCGGCATCTGCATGGGGCCAGAATCCTTCGCCTCGCTCCGAGGCTTGCCAATCCCTGCCAGCAACCCGTTACTTCTGCTGTCGTGCTGATACCTGGAGTAAGATTTTGCTTTAATTTCAAACGATTCCTTTGACATCGGCATGCTCCGTTTGCTGTAAACAGTGCTGTTGTTGTCAGGAGAAAGCGGTCTGTTGCCAGGCTTCAGCGAGTTATTTTTACAATCTCCTAGTGCTGATTTGGGCATTTTTAACTTCAGGGTGATCCTGGGAGGTGGGTAGAACAGTGTGTTCTCTAGTGCACTTGTCAGGGTATGGCCTACAGGAGAAAGAGATGAGAGAGCAGAAGAATAAAAAAGCTTTTTTAAAAGAAGGTAATCATTCCGTTATCTGTAACAAGTTTTATAGCCCATTAGAAGGTCATTCAACAGTAAGATGCATTTGCAAACAATTAGTGTGAAATTATTTTAGGACATTAAAGAGAATCTGGGATAACAAAAACTGTTCCAAATTATCCACTGTTTCAGAATTTAGGTAAGCATTTTAGCATTTCCATTAAAAACAATAACGTGCCCTTTTTACAGGGCTTTAAGCCAATGAATTGAACCAGTTTTGAGATATGACTGAAGTAGTTCCAAGAAAGCTATAAAAAAGGTCCATATTCAGTTCTGGATGAAGAAAAAACAATGCTTCAAACTGAGTATCAATTTGGACCTAGTTCAACTCTCCGCTTTGTATTATAAAATTCTCTACGCTTTAGATGTCTTTTCACCCCAATATATTAGTCTTTATGATATTATACGCATACAGCACCATTGCAAAGTAGCTATCAAGCTATTCTAATAAGCATTAAAAAAGCACTTGTAAGTGTAAAGACATCAGATAAATTTAATAGACATTTCTAACAAAACGCATTTACACAAAACCAAAGTGCTTTAGAGTGCTGCTGCTTCCACAAAGTACTACTCTGATCTAAAACAGTTTAAAAAACCCCACCTTGTCAGTACTAATGAAACCTATACATGTGTCAAGAGTAGAGGAAAAAAAAAGCAAAAAGACTTCACTCTAAATTGGTCATGAAAAACATAATATGTATCTTGAAAGAACAGAGGTCTTAATTTATTAAAAAAAAAGTAACTGCACTGTAACATAAACATATACTCTTCCTCTTTGCAAATATGGTGTTCCTTACTTCAAGACGGTCATTACAAAAACGAAGAGCAGAGTGGGTTTTGGTACATAAGCGTTCCTAAGCAGTTACTATTCACTATTACAAACCAGAGTATTTAAAACTCGTTTTGAAAGAAGGAGGGTAACTGCAGATGGCATGCTAAGAAATGCCTCTTTGCGCTGTTCATCAAGCATGCAAGGCAACATGAGAACAACAGCGATTCCTATCAGTCACTCTTTTCTTTTGCCTGAAGGAACCACTACTGAGAGCAAGCAAAAAACCTCAGCTGGAGAACCAAGCAGCAGCACAGAGCTTGCTGTGGGGAAACAGTACCGTAAAAAAGTAGCCAAGGAACCAAAAATCTAAAGATCAGCACCAACTCGTTTCTCCTATCTGGATGCTACAGTGATTGATAAGTAATAGGCACATATCAGAAATGGCCATAAAATAAAGAGATATCCAAGTAAATATTTCAAGAGATTAAAGAGTTTTGTGTGTGTCGCTACTTTTGTTGACTGTGTACTCGAAGAAAAAAATTTAAAGGCAGATTTACAGTGTTAAAAGCACTAAGCAGGAACATAAAAAGAACACATTTTTTAGCTTAAATACAGGTAGAATTTGTAAACATTTTACATTTATATGATTACCTGCAGCGATTTCCTGATTAATGAGCTGGACTTGCAAATTGAAGACCTGTTCATGTACTTTACTGTGAGACAGCTTCAGTTTCTCTCTCCTGCTTACCATGTAGCAGAGATTTCTTACCTATGGAGGAATAACAGGAGACTTAATAGGCAATAAGAATCCAAATCTTGACATAGTTAAAAAAAGTGCATCAACAACAGAATTAAAACATTATGTGCAAGTTCCCTTGGCAAAGTTCTTGTGAATATTACTGAACACACGTAACTGTGAAATAAAAAAATACCTTGGATTTTTTTTTAATTGTCAATTCAATGAATACCTTGAATATGTATTTTCATCTGTAAGAACAGTGAGCAAACACAAAATTCCAGTCAAATGAAAAGCAAGTAATTGCTAAGACTTGCTTGTCAGTAAGCCTGCTTCCGTTACGTACGATGCTGGCGATGTTACTGTAGGCAATACTGGATTCTCCCAGAATTTCCCTGTGAAGTGTTTTATAGATTGATTTTTAAACAGCTAAACTATGATTGTTTCCCCTAAAATTATTCCAACATTTAAAGTAGTATTTTATACAAAGCTACCCAAGAGACCTGGCCTGTTTGGACCAAAATGAACATGTAGATCACCTCTAAAAGAACACTCTGGCTTCTTGTGCAATGTACGCATATTGGCTGACCCACTTAACAGTTTCTTTTCAGACTAAATTGCGTTGACTCATGGAGTTTGACAAGGCCAAACGCAGGGTCCTGAACCTGGATCAGGGCAACCCCCTGCATCAATACAGGCTGGGGGATGAAGGGATTGAGAGCAGCCCTGCCGAGAAGAACTTGGGGGTACTGGTGGATGAAAAGCTGGACAGGAGCCGACAATGTGTGCTTGCAGCCCAGAAAGCCTGCATCAAAAACAGTGAGGACAGCAGATCGATGGAGGCGATTCTGCCCCTCTACTCCACTCAGGTGAGACCCCACCTGGAGTACTGCATCCAGCTCTGGAGCACTCAGCACAAGAAAGACACGGACCTGTTGAAGTGGGTCCAGAGGAGGGCCACAAAGATGATCAGAGGGATGGAACAGCGCTCCAATGAGGAGAGGCTGAGAGAGTTGGGGTTGTTCAGCCTGGAGAAGACTCCGAGGAGACCTTATTGCAGCCTTTCAGTATATGAAGGAGGCTTGTAAGAAAGATGGAGAGACGAGGGTATGTAGTGACAGGACAAGGGACAACAGTTTTAAATTGAAAGAAGGTAGATTAAGATTGGTCATAAGGGAGACATTTTTTACAATGAGGGTGCTGAGACACTGGAACAGGCTGCCTAGAGAAGTTGAGGATGCCCCATCCCTGGAAGTACTGAATGTCAGGCTGGATGGGGCTTTGAGTAACCTGGTCTAGTGGAAGGTGCCCCTGCCCATGGCAAGGGGGTTGGAACTAGGTGATCTTTGAGGTCCCTTCCAAACCAAAGCATTCTGTGATTCTATGGTTCTATGATTCAGTTCCACATAATTCTACTTTCACTATTTGTCTGAGTTAATAGCAATATTTCCACCTAATGTAATGAGAACAGGAAGAGGTACTGGAAGTTCATGAAACAGCATAGTGACTGGTTGAAAGGTGTTTGCCAAACATACTTCCCTCAGCACTCAACTCCATCTGTTCAGAACTGGAACTTCTCTGCCCAGAAAGGAAATTCCAAGATCCCCAAATTTATATTCATCCCAAGATATAACCGAGTAGAAAACCCTGTGGCACAAAGAAGTTCAGAAACTTTGAGACAGACGTTTCAAACTATGAACTACCTCCACTCAGAATAAGTATATAAATTTCAACAAAATTTGATGCAAATCAACCACTCGTCAAACAAAAAGAAAAAGCTCCAAATAGTATCTTGAAAGAATGGATTTTTCAAGTATTTTTTTTTCATAAGGAATCATATCCAAAGTGCTCCTGGAAAAGGAGAAGGGCTAAATTCAAGACAACACTGATGAGCGCAAATCTTGGCTCCAACATTCATCTCCTTGTATTTTTGCATTCTTCTCTCCCCGGTATTGTTTTCCCTTTTCTTAGAACACTATTTTCTCTCTTCTGCTTTTCCTTCCCCTCTCCTCTCGGATGTCTCTGTATCACATTTAGCACATCTACTTTATTTTGTTACCTTTTGTACGTTCCCTACCTATCTCTAAGCACTTGAAAATCGCAGGTGATCACTTGCTAACAGGAAAACTTAATGGGCAGCCTCTGAGTGGTAACAAGCTTGGCTTCCTCCCCACCAGCTGCGAGAGGAGCACTCTGTATGCCTTCCTAATAAATTCCTGCTCTGAATTTTGCTGAAAGACTCCATCTTTTCAAACTACCAGCTAGCTGGCAATCTGATAAGAGCCCAGCTAGCTACTGATAAAAAGATAATTTCCTTTTCCTCCTTCTCAGTAAAGCCACAAGCAGTGGTAGAGTCAGTGGGTTATTTTCAGACTGCTAACCAACCGTAGCACCTAAGGCAGCCACATGCAGTGAAAGCATCTAGGTCAAGACTGTGAGGAGTGATGTGGCCTGCCCGCTACCTGGGACTAGCTGACACCAGCATGCTGGCAAGGAAGAGATGTGAGTACAACTCCTGAATCAGATGTCATAGGAAGTAGTATGAGTACAGGCCAACATTATTCTTCTGAGCCAAAAAGTCACTGCGGAAGTTAGCCAGCTAGGATTTCACCTACTTGCCTTCAAACAATGAGGGTGAGAAGCTCTGCTCTAATATATTTTTAGGATTCTGCAAAAGCTTAATGCACACTCACCAAAGAATACTTACTACTCCACCTATGCAAATATTTTTCCAAACCTAGAATTGGCTAATATTTACCATTCTATTATAACCACTACAAAACTCCTTTTTAAGGATAAATCAAGAGTCCCTCCCAACCCAAGACAAAAGGTGAAAGATAATAATTTGTTAAGCTTGCGCCATTCCTTTGCTGTTTGCACTTACTTTCATTTAATAAAAGTAACATTTTTTGTTACTGAATCTGTATTACTAGCAACTACTACAGTGGGGTCAAATAAAGCTACTCAATTTTTTTTAAACATTTACTCAATTGAAGTTGAAATCAAAGAGTCCATTAGCAAGTATGTCCATTGTGCATGAGAAACATGCATCTTAAAATACATAAAGGAATAACCTCTGAGCAAGTCAGGAAGCACTCCTTTCACATTGGATCTCTCACGGGACTAAGAAGGGACAGTTTCTGAAAGTCTCTGCAGCAGGCAATGCAGCATACCAAAAGACCGGAGTTGAAAGCCTTACTTTTTTTTTTTTTTTTAAAATTATTCTTTTAAAATTCACATCCCTGTGCTTCCCCTATTCCCACTTTTGTTCACAAAGACCTTGGTCACCTGCAAACAGTTTGTCAAAACTTTTACCAGTTAAACTCTTACCCTCTCTAGGTCCTGCCTCAAATGCATGAACATCCTCATGCGAGTATGAATGCTATCTTCTTTTGGCTGCACCAAGCCATTTTCTTCATCCTCCTTGGGAGGAAACAATGGTTTGTTAAAGTTACTTTTTCGCTTTAATTTCCAGTAATTGTAGATGAAGTCTACAGCAAGTTTAGGAAGGCCCAGTTCTGCTGCAACATCCTCCACTTTAACTAGTGAGTAAAACTCTTCTTCCAGCTCTCGGAGTTTCTGGGCTCGCAAACTGGTTTTCTCGCTCTCGGTTTGCTTCTGGTCTGACACGCTCTTGGGGTGCTCATCAACATCAGGCAGCGAATTCTGTTTGTTCTTGCTGTGCTTTAGACAATACGATTTGAACTTGACCTCATCCCCATCATCCAGGATAGTCTTCATCTCTAAGCTATGCTCAAAGGCACAGGTGACATGAAAGGCAGTGATACAGCTTTTCACAGAGCACTACAGGCAAAACAAAAAAACCACCTCAATCACTAACAGTAGCAATAAACCAGAAAAAAAGGACAAAATTATCTTCATTACATGAAAGTTCATCCCTATAAAAACATATTTCCCAAGCACTCTTAAAAATATCTGTCGATCTCTTTGAAGTTTGTATCACCTGATTTAGTATTTTCTCATTTGTGAACAGCTGTTCAACAGAAGGACCCTTCTATCCATCTCTGACCCACACAGTAGCAGCTCTTACACAGCCCAGCCTTATTCAGAAGGCAACTCAGACAAACTCTTAAATCTCTGTGCTAGTGAACTGATTTGATAGCAAACAGCTGTGAAGAAGTCAGCATCTATCCAACGGTCATCTGCATCGTAAACCACCTCTGAACACAGGCAGAACAAAATGAAAAACTGAAAATTGCCCTTCTCACATAGACTCAAGAGTTACCACAGGACAAGTACATACCTGAATGCAAGCACCAGTTTTCAGCTTGCATAAACTACACACTAGAGCCCATCGACTTGGTGGAATGTGAGACACCTTTGTGATTGGCTCCATCCTTTCTGGGCAAGCAATACTAACCTGTAAACAAACAAACAAAAAAATCATGGAGAGCAGTTATCAAGGCAATAAAAACAAGCTCTCCATTAACACCAGAAGAAACATGACCATGCATTTATCTCGCTGAGAGATCTCCATGTGTTCATACTTCTCAGCAAGCAATCCCCAAAAGATCCCACATGAAAACAATATTGTGGAATACTACTAGTTTAACCTGGTGGCTAAAAGCTGCGATTCTTTAAAACATTTGAGGCATCTACAGCATACCTTGTTATGAACCAGTTGCGAGACTGCAGTAAGTGATGCTTAAGTTTATTTCCTTTCAATTGTTTCGGGGTTTTTTTTCTGTGCTGCTTTAACAGGTCAAACTTAAAAACTAACAAAATACAAGCTACTCAGAACAAAATAAGAACACTTGGAACACTTACTCACACTTACCTCAAAAGTTCCTTCTTTAAGATCCACAGATTGGCTACAATTGCTACTTCTGCTAGCTCACAATTTGGGCAGAACCAGATCTATCAGTCAGCAGCCAGGGAAAGCCTTGCTTCCCAGCTTTGCCTCTCCACTGAGCGCTCCCAATGCAAGAGGTGATTCTAATACGCTTTCCTAACTACAGATTGTATCAAGTATGATTTGAGAAAGAATACAACAAACTTCTCTTACTGCAAAGCACAGTATATTCTCTTGTGCCGGTTTTCACATACTTAGTCTGGATGATCCATTTGTCTCTGGTAGACCAGATTATGGATATTAATACTAAAAGAAAGAAAAAAATTCAGATAAACACAGGATACCTTTTCCTATTCTTTGTTATACTAACGTCCACATATCCAATAGAAATTTCTTAGCTGTCGGTTGTCCATACTGGGAAACAAGGACTGTCCTCCATTATCTGGATACCAAGACAGACATGAATTATCTCTGTAGGCATCCCTGAGCCACTCCTGACAGACAGGATTTATCCAAGGGCAGAAACAAAAAGTTGGCCAGCTCTGAATGACCAACATGCAGAACTGGGCCAGTATGAGGATGGCACTTGGCAGAAGATTTCTGTGAGATAACTGTTCTGTCCCAAGAATGCCAGTCTCCAAAATCTTGGATTTTGAAGCTTACACAGCACTTTCTGAATTTAGCAGTTGTGTGCTTTGAAGGGCTAGCTGCCTGAAGCAGAAATATAATGCTGACTCTAGCTAGAAAGATCTCCACACTTTCTATGAGCAATTCACCAGAGCAGAGCAGAACTGTATTTCCAGAGGTAGGATAGGGGCCTCTTCTCAAAGATCTAAGAATTCAAAGAAAGGAGGTTCCTAGGCTCTCTGGCACTCAGGCCAGAATAAAGCTAATTCCTTAAGAAATCAGTTAAAGCTGAGATTTGAACAGCATTTTTTTTTCCTAGAAAACTTTAGAAGCATTATGCTACAGTAGTTTTCATAGATTAACTCCATAATAAAACTCTCCTAGGGAAAGCCAGGTTATATGAATTAGTTTAACACGTGATAATTAAACCGTTGACTTTACAAGAGCCAGCAGCCTAAGCTGAATTTCCTAGCTTCCCTTTTGGGGTACATCAATAATCACTTGATGCACATACTCACTTTAAAACCTGCTTAATCCCTGAGGAGGAAAGGCTTTGCTTCAGCTGACCTCCTCTGTGAGGCAGACTTATCCAAAGATAGCAGTGCTAAGTTGATCAAGTCCAAGAGTCATAGTTGCTATGCTCAAACCGAGTATTTTGCTACTCTGTCCTTATCATTGCATTGGTCTAAGCATCATTTAAGGAGGTGGAAGAGACAGCTTTGCAAGAGATTACTTCGTTCATCATTTCCACATTTAAAAAAGTTGATCAGCAGTTCATGAGTTAATGACATAAATTGAGTCTAATAAGATTTATGTTGGTACTAGTGCTTTATCCTCTGGTCCCTCAACTGCAAGCCACATCTGGAATATACTGAGGTCAACCTGCTGCATGGCATTTCCAGAAGTCTTCATTAGGAAGACAGTGAGATACTTCAGAGAGGGTCCAGGTTTTACCAGACAAGGGGAACAGGCAGGCAGTGTGTGATGCCATCATCAGGTAGAGAAACAATTTAATCTGTTGTGGCCTTCCTATAAATTGGTGGGAAAGTGGCAAAGCTGTTCCTGAAAACACTTGAATGGTTCTACAAAATCATGCCCAACACTCTTAAACATCAAATGTAGCTTTTTTGCTTCCAAAATGAAAGAGCCTTTCATCAACCTAACTTGACCTTGCTCAAAACAGAGCTGGTTACAAGCTGAATAGGTATTTCTGAAATAATATTGTACAAAGACTGACTGCAATTCTTATCCCAGTTACCACTACACTAAGAAGTAAGACTTCCTTTGGGAATTAAGGGATTATATCAACTTGTCAGGTTGTCTATATTCCTTTCAAAAAGAAACCAGAATCTTCAGTGATTTTTTTTCTGGAGACTAAGTAATACCAGCTTTCCACCATGCTTCCCAGCAGGAGCTGGGAATTGACACAGATCTTCTCCCTGTCCTTCTCTGCCCCTTTTAATGCTCTCCCTGCTCCTTCCCCAGAGGGGACTCATAAGGTCAGGAAACAGCTATGTTGGAAATACTGTCCATTCAGCTTGTAATGCTGCCTGTTTATATTACTCCACTTTGTAAAAGCACAAAGAGGCATTTACAGAGTCAGATGCAATTTATTTATACTGGCCTCATGCCGCCTGCGTGTTTCAAAGAGAAGAGTCAAGGCAAAGTCTGTTTGAACTTCGCTGCTCACGAGGGATCCAAAGAACAGAGATGCCAACCTTTCCATTACTCAAAACCGCCCATCCCAAGGCAGAAATGATCCATCTGCTGTAACATGAAATAGCTGTTTTCTCTGCTATTTCTTCACCTGGTATTAGGTTACATTTTGACTGCTGTACTCTTAAGTTTTAAGAATGTGAAAGAGTGAAGATAATGGCTATTGAAGCCTCTTCTCTGAGACTGTTATGCACATGAGCTGCCATCTCGATCATCACCCTGCTGTCCTCTGCTAACCTGCCACCAGTAACTGCACGGGTGCCCAGTGATCAGCATCAGTGACTGGGAAGGGCAGCCCAGAAGCTGGAGGATGGCCACTCACAACAGCAGCTAAGGGTAGTCAATTTGATACCCTTCCAGTTGTAGCAAGGCAAAATAACTTTCTGCTTCAGCTAATGCCACACTGATTGAGGAAGGACGTAACTGCAATGGGTTATCTGAGGCAGAGAAGGACCTTGAATTTCAAAACACTTGGTGTAAGTTTTCTGGTCTCAGTGTTTCCTTTTTTTTCTTTTGTAAAAAGAACGCCTTTTAAGAAAATATGAATTAGACTACACATTTACCCTAAAAGACAATAAGGGCAGATTCTAAAATATAAACCAACAATGCGTAAACTTTGTAAAGTAAAAACCTTCAAACATCCCAATCAATCAAGTGAGGGTCAAGAAAGCCTTTCAACAGCATTAGCTCACAAGGAAGGGAGGGAAGAAAAAACATTTTAAGACAGTGCCGAATGAGTTAATGAAGGAAAATACCTAGTGCAATTGCCTGTACGATGCTAGCCTATACTTGGTGACTCATGAAGGCCCTCTTTGAACCTTTTACCGCAATGCACAGACATGTTTATGGCCCGTTCCTCTCTGCATTCTGCCTTGTTCCATTTTATTAGGGCCACAAGAGGAAATGGCAGCGACTTTATAATTCATCGGTTTCTTTTTGAGGAGTTCCAGTGTGCTACTGTCTTGGGGAGAAGAAAAATAGGTATATGAGAATATGCATTCTCCCCTAAGGTATCCATCACTAGGTCTTCAAACTCTGGGTCTTTCTTGTCCCCTGCAGCACGTACCACAGTGACTCTCCAGACAGGCACTGACCTGCCATTTTAGCAGAGATTCCCACAGGTTTCTCTGGCTTCTCCGGTGACTGAATTGTTTTCCACCGAGAAAGAGAAGGGATCCCAGAGGCATTACCCACCCCTGCTGGCAGGTGTCACCTGCTTGCTATGCCCAACACATTTGGCATTGCTGTGGGGGAGAGGAGGTGCCCGAAGCCTGGAGGCACCAAAGGGGCTGTGGGAGTAGCCGGATTTGAGCTCTCCCACCTGGGTGCTCCCCTGGCAGTTTCTCTCCCTCACCTGGAAGGAGATGGGGTAGGCAGGAAGACAATACTCCCTGCCCTGCCATCACCTGCTTCCCAAACCTGCTGGTTCCTCTTTTGCTGGCGAGAGCATCAAGGCAAACACACGCAGAAAGGATCTCTTAGGAAAACCAGTCTGCTCAGAGCCAGGAGAGCTTCCAGCCAAGACACTTCGTAAGTACAGGAGGAAAAGCCAAGAGATATATCTTTTTTAAACTTTAAAATAAATCTTTTGGGTTTTTCTCAACTCCTCTCTCCTTAAAGGTGGAAGAGATGCCAGGAACTACAAGCAGGCCTGAAAGGAAAGTGCAACTGCAAAGATAACCTCCTTGAAAGGCAGCTCTCTCTCAGGCATATATCTAAGAATTACACATTGCATCTGGCTGCTATGTTAAAAAAAATACCCAGAATCTTAACATTTTACTCAAAGTTTTGCAAACATGAGGCCTGTCTGTGCTTGGGAGCAGAAGGTTCAGAAAATAAGGCATCCATCCCCATGATGTCATGGTGCTGACAGATCTGGCTACCACCTCGCATTAAACCACCCACCATAATGGATCTGTGGATCTTACCAGAAAGAAAACAAAAATATTCCAAGTACAAAATTAAACACAAACCCCACCTGTACACAACCAAACATTCCAATTTACAGAATTACTATGTGATGCTAAACTTGATTCAAAACAGAGGAAGAAGCACGAAGCTTCATTATTAAACTTTCCATATAAGTATGCACAGATATATCAAAAAGAGCCTTTACTTATAAAATATAACATAAAAGATAAAAAGCTTTATCTCCCCACTATTCAGAAAAAATTTAGTTCAAAAAAAGCCTGAACTACAAATCTTAGAGTCCATCCTGGACAAATAATGGAACGGGGGGGTTCTTTTATTAAAAAAAAAAGTGGATATGTGCATGCAAATTATACATCTGAGCACACAAATTCATCAGAAAATAAAGAGACAATGAAGCTGCAGTTGCACAGTGAACACTAGCTTACATCAGTAACCCTTTTTAGCAGGTCACTCAGATACCATAACAACACCAAGAAGTGACTGCTGAGTAAATGGAGGGGACAAAGTGATTAATTAATGGAACATAAGCTGGACTCTCTCCCAGTCCTCATAGACTGTGCAGACTCATCAGAATAAAGTCCAGTATTAAGCCAGACAGATACCTTAAATCATGAGAACATAAAAAGGCAGAGGAGGGAACGAGGAGTAGGACAGACAGTAGTCTACAATACAAAAGAAAGAGGCAGAAATTAAGTTTTACCTCTGGAATCCAGAGAGCACAGCTCACATGTGCCCACTTGGTCCCTGTCCTGGTAGCTTTCATGGCACCTCCTCTTTTGGGACACAGGAGGCACTGAGGATGTATTCCCAGGACACAGGTGCGACACAGCCAGCTCCCTTCAGGTACTTTTAAGATTCCATAGCATGCCTTGGAGGAAAATAGGTATCAAGATCATTGCGCTGACTTCACACACAATCATTAATATTCATATGAACCAAAGCTTTCAAATACTAAAGGCACAGTTTGGCCTTTATTTAATCCTTCTCTAATTTCTTTACCTTAAAACGAGCCAAGTGATCAAAGAGATAAACAGACTCTGTCTAAAGCAAAGTCTTTTTTATGCCAGTTTCTTTTTAAAATGTGTGCTGGTATTATCCGTTTATTGCATAAAACATACCCATTGTTACTGCACAACACCACTGGTTTTAAGAACCATCGTCTTTTAGTGACTTCTAAATTTCTGAAGCAAAAAACATAGACATTTCTTTAAATTAGCTTCTGCGTCTAATCCTTTTTAAAATCAGCATTTCCTACCACTAATAACTTTACACTCTAACATAATTCTATTTAGATGTGAAGGGATATGAGCTGTTTGACTGAAGACCATTTCCTGCAACATTAAATTACCTTTGTGGTTACAGTTCTGTGAATTGTTTGTTACTTTAAATACTTATAATATAATATTGCAACAAAAATTCCAGCATATACTGAAATTATGAGGTGCTGGATTTTATGCCTATTTCCTGAGTATTGCACTTACCCCTCAGAAAATGAGAAATTTCTTAAGCTTTGCTAGGTTTGAGAATTAAAAGAAGGAAAATGAAAAGAAAAAAATTAGTCCGCTTTCTGATTCAAATTCCTAGCAGTTCTTAATGGCTAACTACATATGGTGAGACACTGGAATAGGCTGCCCAGGGAAGCTCTGGATGCCCCATCCCTGGAAGTGTTCAGGGTCAGGTTGGATTGGGCCTTGAGAACCTGGTCTAGTGGGAGGTGTCCCTGCCCATGGCAGGGATGTTGGGACTAGATGATCTTTAAGGTCCCTTCCAACTCTAACCATTCTATGATTCTGTCTAGATATATCCTGCTGTACATACCTACACGCATAGTAAAGCTGAGTGTATCTGAGATCATTGGCTGCCAACAAGGTCTAATTCCACTCAACTGCTCCAAATAAAAGCTTTATCAAAAGGGTAGCTTTCAGAGGAAATCCCACCATTCCCAACACCATCTCTGGGAACAGTAACATTGAAAGCCTCAACAAGAACAGGATTATTAGCTGTAACCAGTCTTTCAGATTCAAATTTAGTATAATATGCCCACGCTTGCCTTCTCAGCCTTCCGACGATAAGATCTCAGTATTTAATATGAGGCAATATCATAAAACATTACACATTTATGTCAGGCCTGCAGAGACGTGGACTTCCCTGAATTAAATCCTGCATTATGGAAACACCAAGACTGACTATCCTAAATGCTATTTTGATGTGACAACTGTTGTAAATACCCAACAGGGGGAGCTGTAATCTAAATTTTACAAGTGACTTTTTTTCCCCCCCCTCTTATGTGGCACATTCCCACCATTCTTTCTATTACTAATGCAGAAGAGGCATTACACCTAAGATCATATTTAGGTGGTTGGAAATGGACTGAAACTGCTTTCGAATTTAATCCTACTAATGAGAGGAGGAGGCCTAGACTACTAAACCAGTAACTCCATGATGTGTTTGAGCTGGCATGAGAGGCCACCGTGAAGGAAGAAATCTCTCCCACTCCTCCTCCCCTCACCTCCAAACTGTGTGATGACAAACAGACTTGAGGCTACTTGGTGAACCAGGACTGATCCAGATTAAAAACAGAATGATTTTTTTGTTGTTAGGATTAGCTCTAGCCCACAGATGCTCCCCAGTTTGTTTCAGGCAGGCCCAGCACGGGGAAGGGTCAGGAGGAAGCAGGTCATCAGCTCAAGCTCAGCTGTCAGCATGCAACCATGAGCCCTCGACTGCAAATTCATCATTACTTTTGAACAGGCACAAGCAGGGGCTGAAGCAGGCAGCCCAGCTGCCAGCCATATTCCTGTCACTGGCCATGTTACTGGCACTCAGGCTCACGTGGCTGCTTCACGCGGTGAATCAGACCACGAAAGCGGCTGGGCTGGAAGCCAGCCCACTGTGAGCAGGGAGATGACAGGTCCTTTTTCAGCCAGATATGTTTTCCAAGTATTACTTGCAGTCAGTACAAAAAAACATTTTTCAAAAAAACCCTTCTTAGTGTCTTTCCAATTTATAGCAAAACCCCCTTCCAGAACAGGACACACAGACACCACAGGATTCATATCCCTTTTCTGATTATAAGGATACCTCTGCCTATGTTCATCTCAGTCAGTGTAAAGTCTTGGCTACATCTGAAATGCTATAAACGTGAGCAACCTTCAGACTGAGAGCATGGTTATTGCAGGTGCTTACGCCTTCTAAAAAAGATCAGTCTGTTAAAGTGCCTACATGTGGTTTCAGATGGCTAAATTTGGACAGCCTGTGTCTGGCCAATTAACTAGTCAGTCAAGGAGGAAAAACCCCAGCTCTGAAACAAATGACCTTTAGATTTTTCACATATAGGGCAAGCCAGCTTTTCCTGCCCTGTTTATCTTCAAAAGCAGGTTTAATAATAGGGGAAAATTGTTTACGGCCACAGAGGAAGTACTTGCAAGTCCCAAGAACACAGTTCGTGTTCCTATTAGACTGTAGATGTCCACGTATTTACCATGCTAGGCCACTTAATCTACTGTAACTGTCAGGGTACAAAAATTGAACTTAGTATTGTACCACCTTTCATACCTAGAAAAGCACAAAGCCCTCCAATTAACATCTAATACTAGTTTAAATTGCACACTTGCCAAGGTAAAGTAAGACCACAGGACAGTGTCAACATTTCTGCAGGCACTAACCTGATGGACACAGATATTACACTTGTCACAAAACACCATGTCGTTCCCATCTTCACTGTCAGGGGACCGGCACACATCACAGATGACATCTTCATCATATTCAATACCCAATCCTTCTTCAGTCTCAATAGCGTGATTCATGTTCTCATGACAGTGCCGTTCCAGCACTTCAATTGTCTTTTCCATTGTGTTTTCATCCAGGGGCCCGCATCCTGCAACAAAGAATAGGAAAGCAGAATTAGAGGACAGTCAGGTGCCTCTGACTGAACCTGAGATGCAGGAAGAGAGAAGAACAACTTCTAGCAACTAAAGAAGTAGACACAGCATCTCCTCTCCCATCATGCATACTAATAATAACAAAAAAAAAAATATAGAAAGCCTTTTTCACTCACTGGCTAATTGTAGCATTATCTTACAAATACAAGTAGAACTACTACTGGAGTAAAAGTTTAAGTTGTATACAAAATACAAGACTGCACCGTGAAGAAAACACTACAGCATAGAAGACAGACAGCAGTTTCTGTAACTGCTAGCTGCTCCAATTCAACCCTCCCTCCACTTCCATCACTTTAAAAACCACTAATGACATCCAAAAATCACACACAATGTTCTTTCAAAATTACACACAATGTTCTTCTGAAGACTAACTCCCTAGGAAATAAAACTTATCAAGAACACTTTAGATCTTATAAAGATACAGAAGTTGCCACCACCCAGTACCATCTAGTACATTACGTGAGTGATCAGCACAACAGATATGAAAAGTGCTTTTATTGTTTTGTTGGGTTTTTTTAAATAAAATAGTAGATAAATATACCGGTGGCAATCCATACTGTCTGTTTACTTGAACACTAAACATGCTGTATATGCATACAGCTATTCAAACTTAGCGTAAACAGAACCACTTAAAAAGGATTTGGTATGAGACACCCTCAGCTTGCAATTTCAGACCATACACTGCATAAGAAACCTGACAATGTTCATAGCTACAAGCAATTTCCAAACTGCATGCTCTCAAAATCCTCAGTCAAAAATGATGCTGCTGCCCATAGTTCAGTTTGCTCAGACCTTCAAAGGTTGGGATATTCATGTAACATTAGTATCAGGGGCTAGTATTTCAACTATTGGACCATGCACAAGAACATGGCTACTAATTTGGATTCCTTGTTACCACTGATAAACAGGGAGATGGACAAGATAAAGGACTGCTAATACAAAGTGTCTTCTGCTATTAAACTGTTCTCTCCTATGTCTGGATATTTTCTCACTCCTTGAATTAAAAGTATTACAGAATCATTCAGGTGGGAAGGGATCTTCAGAGGGTCCAGCCTAATCGCTGGCTCCAAGCAAAGTCAATAGTGAATCCAGACAAGGTCGTTGCTCAAGCAATGTCTAGTCAGGTCTTGAAAATGTCCATGGGTGGAATCTGCCTTGCAGAAAAGCTTTGGTTTTGCTAACAGCATCCCTGTATGCCTGGGAAGTGCGTCCTTGCTTCTACCTCTTACATACATCCTTTGGCACTGGAGCTCAGTCATGAGTTCCCTCCTTCACCAAGCCGGTCTCCTGACACATCTACTTGTTTTCCCGAATGTCTGGACGGATCTTTCTTGTGCTTAGAGGAGACTGTCTTTAAAGTCCTGCTAGCTCTCTTCAGCAGTTCTGCTCTTCAGATCTGCCTCACAGATCCCACCTATCAGTTACCCAAATAAGTAGAAACTTGCTTTCCTGAAAGCCAGGACCAGAAGGCTACTTCCTTCCTTCGCTCCCCTCAGGATTCTCAGTCACCACTATTTCACAGCTACTACAGCCAACGCCACCATTGATTATCACATCCCTACAGGTCGTCCCTACAGGACAATTCCAAGATCATTTTCCATAGCTCACTGCCCTTCATAGCCCTCTACAGGCACAACTTGCATGGAAAGTAAGTTTACTTAGCTGATTTTAAATGGGCTAACATGTGTGAAACTTAATTACTCCGTTAAGAACCCAGCATGCAAGCTCCTCAGAACTCTGAATTTGTAGCAATAACATGTTCAAGTTTAAGAAATGGAAACATCTGCTTGTCCTACACAAAATTTGTAACTTTTGAAGTCCTAAAATTAATTCCACCTGGTGTGGGCTTTTTCTCTCCTGCCTCAGTCTGCAGAAGTTGCAGACAATTTTGGATGCAAAGAAGTTTTTAGGCACAACAGGTAAAACATTAACAGATTGAGCAAATCATTATCTTAAGCATTTTTACCTCCTGTTTTTCTTAGCATTTCCATTCAATTCTCACTCAGCAATCTTTAAGAGATCTCACACAGCAGACTACAACTCTAACAGCAGAAATTAACTGCTGCTTTTAAAATTAGAACGTGTTGTGAAATTACCCATTTCTGTAAGCTCTTCATTTAGCTCTTGAAGCCAAAAGATGTCCATGTCATCCAAGTCATAGCGACACACAGATTCTGCCAGTTCCAAAATGTTTATGTAACCTGGTTCTGTGGGCTCTTGGCTGGAACAGTGGATATATTTTCTGGGTCGCGTATACAGTACTTCTTTCACCTTTTCTGCTACAACCCTAGAGTGAAAGTAAAAAAAGAGAGAGTGAGTTACAGCTTTTTGAGACTCATCCTTGAAAGACACGAAATATCTGCTGTAAGTGCGAAGAAACTTAGTGTTTCACAGATCTTAAACTAGCCGGTAAGTGTAGCCAGGCTAGGGAGACAGGATGCTGTAAATGTCATTTCTTCACGCAAAATGTACTACTGTGCTGTGTGTTGCTACGTATACAGAATCCTTTTTAAAAATGTAAGCCTGTGTGTATGATTTTCAATTTAACAAATGCTACTAGTGAGATGATGCAAATATTTTTGAAACCCACAAAGTATTATGCACAAAACCCCCTTCAATCTTTGTTCTATATTCCTCTTAAATGATAGAAGGAAATCTTGCCAACTGATTTCTTGAAAATACCAGCTTTTTCACAAAAGCTTAATTTATTCTACTGCAGTGTGTGGGAGCGGGGCGGGGGGGGAGAAATGCTTGCTCTTCATTTGGGGTAAACAGTCTACCCTTATCTTGTAAATGACACTTCATCCACATTACAAATGTATTATTTTTGTTACGTAAGAACCATTCTGATGCCAAGCAAAAATGTAAAGGGGAAAAAACAGCTAAAAATCATCCAGAAAGCAAGGGAGAAAAATATTGGTGTTTTCAGTTTTTCGATTATTTTAAGAGATAAACTCAGCATTTGAGTAGTAAACTAGCCTATGGGAATGGAAAGACTGACCTTAGCTAGATAAAGTCAATCTTTTTCTGAATTCATTGCAAGAGGCACTGCATGTGAAAGGAAGCCAGGAAGATACTGAATGGAACGGTGCCATGCGTGAGCAGCCCTACATGCTTTCTGGAGCTAACCCTCCACAGGACAAGGAGAAAAGCTAAGCTGTGGGAAATAAGGCAAGAGGAGTAAAGAAGGAGCAGTCAGCAGTCAAGCAGTATCCCACACAATTCTTATTGGACAATGTGGGTTGTCAACATTAGCACAAACAATGTTCTTATGCCATTCTTCTTCCCCCTTCACCTTGCTCATTTTTTCCTCTCATTCCCTTGTGAGCTTTTCTTTTCTCTGGTCCAGCCAAATCTATAGCAATTTTTTTCCTCTAATGTAATACTGCTGGTATGAGATGCAATATATTTATTTTTAATAACTTGGTACTGACAATAGCCCCAGTGGAAATTAAATTATGCTGGCATCAGCGCTTTCACTGGACAATTCATTTATCTTCGTCTTGAAGACCACGCTGGCAATAACATTTCTATGTTGAAATACACTCTGTTTTCACCAGGAAGGGCTGCAGGACTACAGAGTTATGTTTTACTCGTCTAAGCACAGTGTGAGAGAACAAAAAATTATTTATCTGTCTCCTGAAACTGAGATCACTGAACTTCTATAATGTTAAGCAGCTCTTTGTAGTGAGCGACGGCAGAAAGGGTTAAAGCTTTGGCAACAATAACCGAAATTAAATTATATGAACAAGTGGATAACTTTATCAAGTATCAGTAACTACTATGTGCTTACTGCTCTATACCATTATGCTTTATAGAGAAGCCTTTCAAGGAACATGTATAAGATCTGGGTTTATTTTTAATTTATTAAACTCACCATACTCAAATGAGAAAATAGTTTTTAATCCATAGCACTGTGTGACTCAGGAAAAAAGATCCCCTTTTTAAACTCACAATGTAGATAACTATAACAGTGTACAGACAGAATCAGATCTGGACTGAAGTGCCACAGAAATATTTTCCAAATTGATACTTGTTTGGTTTAAGAACATGCCTGAAGGTTGCTGTGCTGGAGGTTTAAGTATAGTTAACACAGAAAAGCTGACTGCATTTAGACAACATATTTTTGAGACGCCATCTTCTCTAAGTTGATATTTTGTGTGCATGATCTGTGTCTGATTGCCATTACCTGAGAGAAGGCTGTGGAATAGTTTCTGGACTGGCTGGAACTTGAACCCCTTTCTCCCATTCTTGTTTCCACGTGTCCGCAAAGATATAATATTCATCAGGGTTGACATGGTGAGAATCTGGTAGTTTCATGGCACTAATGAGATCCTTGCGGAACACCTGCAAGAAACATCAGGGAAAAGAGTGGCTTGAGAAAGAGTG